AGTATCAACTTTAACACATGCTACTACATAATTCGATCAATTTTGCGACATAATTTTTGGCGATAAAAAGTATTTCGACAAAAAATAATAGCAATGATATCTATCCTGATATCTATGCTCCTAAAGAAGATCAACAGCATTCGAAGAAACTTGAAAAATACAACTTGACAAACGTCATTTTATATCTGACAGTCGCATGCGCACTAGCAATCATGTCATTTTCTGTCTGATCGTCGGATACGCAGTAGTAAACATAACTTGCAACAAGACTCCGGAATGTTAGCACATTATATCTAATATATTTAGGAAGAATATAACGAACTATAAGATCATAAAATAAACGTTTTCCGGACGTTGAAAAAAATAATTTTTGTGGAAATTGACTTTTAATCGCCACGAGACCATGTGAGTTGGCGAGTATTATTGCAGCCGCTCCTAATCTGGCGAACTTAACTTTGTAGCCGCTCACTCTGCGGACATTCGGAATGCATTATGGTTTTCTTTTCGAATGGAGATGTTTCCCCACCAAGACCCTTAATTAGAAGACACCACGGAAGATGAGGCAAAGAGGTGAATCTGTAAACCGAAAATAAGCAAAAAAGAGAGGAAGAACAATATAGTGATATGACAACCAAAGCTGGTAGAATATATTCGAAGAAAAGAATGCTGGAGCACGATATGTAACATAACCTAGAAAAAACATTCGTGAAAGCTACAGTTAGTAATTTTAACACAATTATATAATAGACAAGCAAATAAACTCTGTTGTTTATTTTGAAAATTGTTGACTGCAGATCGGTAAGTCGAAGTATAAATCATAAAGAGATTATTTCTTAACTCACTGTCACTGTCTTTAGAAGAACGAACAAGCTTGGAGCAATTCTAAATTTTCAAAAACTTACTCTTGTTTATAAATAGCTCAAATAATACAATAGCTCCTTAATATTACGATAGACAACATATTTGTCCTATAATATCGATCAGGCTGATTTAAAATGTGTGTAAGACGTGTAAAAAATTGCTATAAAGGGTATCAAAAAATGGTGGAGGTAGTCGAAGCTGGTGTTTTTGGCGTAGGCGTGGATGGAACTGTAGAAGGAACTTCTGATATCTGTCGGCAAAGCATTATCTCCAGCTCGTCTGGTTTATTGCCCAGAGACTTGGACAAACTTTGTTTTAACCTAAAAAAATAAATTTTTGTGTTATATTCACGTGTTATAAAAGCAATATAGGAATCCCACAGAAATATGCCCAACAATAAACAATTTCAATGGAAAGTCAATTTATAGCCAAATTAAGTAATTGAAGAAGCGTTTTACAAAAACCCCTATTATTGCTTTCCCATAAACTGTGCACATTGAATGATATTAATGTTATCACAACAAAAAAAACCGTGGTGTCTCATGAGGAGAGACATATTCAGATGTTTCAAAATCTAGTCTTAATGACAATAAAATGGTGGTCAAAAACGGCAGGCTATTACGTTTATCAGGGTCTTGGAACTGAAACAGTGATTCTGTTGTTTATATGCCGTTAATAGCTCAAATTCTTGTCTCTTTATTACAAACAAATTCAATATACAATCCGGACACGTCAATAGAAAACTATTTACACTGTATAGGAATATTGTTTTTTAATGTCCCATGTTTACTAAGCATGCCTTTTGGCTTACTCTAAGACGCTACAGTCTATGGTGAGTCAGTACCTGACTAAGTGTAATCAGTGAGGATAAAGTCGTCCTACATGTTCTGCCTCCGGTAGTTCCCCGGTGCAGTTTCTTACCCCATCGCGCTTGTATTTTTTTTTTTGGCTGCTTTGACTATATGCGACATCGCTTGCTCATGAACGACTTCGTGCACTTTTCTTTCTCTACCACCTACGTAGTCAATCTGTATCCTTAATGTTAAAAGTTTATGTTTTTGTCCCATAAAATACCAGAGTTTACTACTACTTAGTGAAGTTTCATTTTTTCTTCTCTGAAATCAGTACGTTCTACATCCCTCCTACCGCAGCTATCATTTTGTTATAACTATTCTAAACATTTTGGCGTTCTTTTCTCCGGTAGGTGTAGCTTCCTTCATGGGGATGTGTTAGTTAGTTATTGCGAAATCAGGGTCTTCTGAAATTTTTGCAACAAAATGGTTGCATTGCTCCTGTAGTGCTCCTGTAGTGCTCCTGTGCAACTGTGCAGTGCAGCCAAGTTAGAAAGTTTCTCCTTTCTAACTTGGCTGCACTGTACTGATCACGACGAAATGGTCACAAATACGTGCTTTTAGTTTTATAGTTTTAGTATGTATTTTGTAATTGAATAAAGCAATTTAAGAAATGATTAAATTGTCAATAATTCGAATAGCTAATTTAATGTAGTCTGTGTGCTTTTGTAATGTTTAAATTATCTTTCGTACCTCCTTTCGCATCTTTTTATCCAAATATAATTTTTTGATTATGTGTAAAACACAAAAATAACCCTTATAGTCCGTATAAAGTATATCTGAGATTAATTTAGTTGATTTTAGTAAAAAATGTTAGTAACATGCGTGATATTTTATAATATTAAAAAAATCACATTTCTGTGGATGTGGATGAAGATTAGATTTACTCTTACACTTATCTGTAAATGGAAAGATCATAAATAGAAAGCAAAAAAATTAAATATTGTGGTGTGTCAGCAGTGAACAATAATGGTCTGTCAATTACCCGAAGATTTTGTTCACTAACAAAACACACACACTTTGGTTGCAGTTTTTTAATGTATTGAGGGATGGAGCATCTGTTTCGAAGCTTTCTATAGGTTATAACCTCAAAAATCAAAATTTCAACAATGTCGTTGCTTTATAGCATTCACATTTCTGGGAATATGCTGCCTACAAATTGTATTCTTAACTATATTCTTCTTCTTGATGTGTATGATGTGTTGATGTATTACACTGATGTTGTGTTGAACCATATTCTGAGGTTCTTTAACCAAGACGTTCTTCTTCCTGGACCTCATTTTCCAAATATTGTTCCTTGCAGGATGGCTTGTAGGAGAGCATATCTGGATTCGTTTCGCATGAGGACCTCCTCATTTGTGACCGGTCGGTCCACGGGATCTTAAGTATTCTCCGATATAGCCAGATCTCAAATACTTCTAGTTTTCTGCACATATCTTCGTTTAAGGTCCACGATTCAACACCATAAAAAATTACAGAGAAGACGTAGCATCGCAGCATTCTTACTTTTGTATCAAAGAGAGGTTGTGACTCTTGAAGAAGGCCCACTTTCAAATTGAAAGTGGATCTAGCTTTCCCGATGCGTGCTCTAATCTTCTGCTTGTTGGTCCATTCTTCATTTATTATGGTGACGAGGTAGTTGTAGTGCGTCACTCTTTCTACAGGGGATTGGTTGACGTAGAGTTTAGAGTTGACCATCTGTTATCCTTTTCTTGTTAATTATCATAAGCTTTGTCTTTTTAACGTTTATATTGAGTCCATATTGTTGACTTTAATACGTGATTTTGTTCATAAGAACTTGTAGGTCTTCTAAGTTGTCCGCCAATACTATGGTGTCATCTACATATCTGATGTTGTTTAGCCGGTAACCATTTAGTAGAACACATTTTTCAGTTTCGTGCAAAGCTTTGATAAATATTCTTTCAGAGTATAGATTGAAGATTAGAAGAGACAAAATACAGCCTTACCTAACTCCACGCTTGATTTTCTCATAGTCAGTGTGTTCACCTTCAACTCTAAGTTTTGCTGTCTGATTCCAATAAAGACTTACTAATTACTAACTAATTATTTTCAGATGTCGGTTGTTAATTCCTGCTTCTTTTAGTATTTGCATCATTTTGGCGTGCTGTACTCGATTAAACGCTTTCTCGTAATCAACCAGACATGCGTATACGTCGCAGTTGACGTCAACTATAGGTATGCAGCTTATTTGCTGGAAAATGTCGTATTTGACCACGCATTTACTTTTTCTCCTATTGTGTACCTAAATTCTTTTATTTATGCAAGACAATTCATATTCTCACATGGCTGGATGTGGATAGATCATTTTAGATGTCCTTGTCGTTGAAATTACAATAATATAATAACATAACAATGATGTCACACTCTCTACTGCTAATCACAATCAAATAATAAATGTAATAATTAACGAATGAAGACTTAGACAGTTCGCACAAACGTGGTGTTGGAGAAGCGTCAGAGAAGTACAATTAATCATATTAATGTAATTACACATCGGTTTAATTTTTATATTTCATGTATTTAAAATCGAATTGTATCCTACCATATTGCAATCCGCTGAAGAAGATTTTGTTTTCATAACAATAAATTTGATATACGACACATCCTAATGCTAAAAACAAAAGAACCAAACATATTGTTTTGAGTGTTTAATGGATCCCAATTATGGCACAGTTTTCTAATATTTATCTTATTTCACACGTTAGTCATCGCTGTGTAAAAGTTCGTCTATTTGTACTTATTTGAGCTACCAATATGTCTTTTTCCACGCTACTACAATCTTATCATATTATTTTTCCTCGTCGATCGGGAAGATCAACCAAAAGACACTAAAAGTATAGTCGTTTAGCATAAGAACTGCACATCACTACGAACGCGACTAGCGAATAGCTGAAGTTTTATAGTATTATTTATATAATAGTACGCTATGATTACTTTAAAAATCAATCTCTCCTAGCTTATGTTCTACAAATACATTAGATACTACAGAATTACACACTTACTTTAACGCACTGCGTGGAGTTCTACAATACTTATTTTTATATATTGGGCTGTTCAATATGTTTTGTGATTCGATTAAAGATGGCGTTGCTACTAGCCTAAATTTTGTTTTGTTATGTTGGTACACTCTTGATATAACCGTATGTGAAGTTTCATTTCAATCTGTCAATTCATTAATTATGTATAAGCCATTTAGTATCGATGTGTGTATTTTTTTACAATGTAAACAATCGAGTATCGTGAATTGATTGAATTTTTATTCTTGTAATGTTTAAAAGCAAAGAAAATCTATCAGCAAATAAGGACTCTTTGCCTTCAATTAGTACAGTAGAAAGATGGATTACTGAATTTAAACGTCGTCGTAAAAGCCTTGAAGACGATCCACGTGGAGGACGTCCAAAAACTGCAACCACGTCGGTAATCGTAGAAAAAATACAGGATATCGTTGTGGAAAATCATCGAGTGACTGAAAAATATTTAATAGAAGCCCTAGTCATCTCACTGGACAGAGTAAGCAATATTTTGACTGAAGTATTGGGTTTCGGAAAACTGTGATCAAAATAGTTTCCGCATTCGCTAACAATGGAACAAAACACATTCAAATGTGATTTTCCCAGACATTTAGAGCGTTTTCGAAATGATAAAGTGGATTTTTTGCGTCAATTCATCACTATGGATTACACTTGGTCTATCACCATGCTTCTACATCAAAACAAGAAACTGAAAAGTAGTGTGAACCTGATTATTCAGCTCCGAATCGACTTCGTGTACAGAAATCGGCCAAGAAGGTGTCAGCATCGGATTTTTTTGATGCGAAAGAAATTTAGTTTGTGGATTACTTACAAATTGGTAAAACAACAAATTCTGCATATTACTGAAACCAGCTAAAGGAAAAATTCGTGAAAAAAGACCCGGTTTAACTGAAGTTCGAATTATTGGAGCATCCACCGTATTCACCAGATTTGGCCCCTAGTGACTTCCACCTGTTTTTCATCAAATGATGAGGATCATAACATTTGTGAAAGCGTATTTTGCAGCCCTTCCAGATTCTCACTTCCGGAAGGGAATTCATAAATTGGATTCTCGTTGCAGCAAGTGAATTGACGTTCAGGGAGACTATACTGAATAATAAAGTGTATTTCAAACCATATAATTATTTTCTTATTGAACCGCAAAAGGTATTGAACAGCCCATTATATAATTATCAACCAAACATTTCCCATGAATACAGTCCCTATTTTAGCACTTTACCATTTTTATACTTTACCTTCAATACAAAAAATTACTGTCGACACCATAACTGGAGATAACCGAAAGTTATAGACAAAAAAATATGACCTATAACAAGCTTACATACACACAAAAGCACATCTTCCCAATTAAAAGATCAATAAAAGCTTTATTCAAACAAGGAATATTTACCGAAACTAACGATCTTCTTTTACTCGTGGTCGTGTTGCAAAAATAAATTTAAGCTTGAAAATAAAAATAAAAAACAGTTGAATATCGATACATAAAATCTATAAAGTAAAAAATACAGTTGATTAAAAGTTGAATTATATGAGGTTTTTTATACCAAAACTATCTGACTTTTATTCATAACTCTACAATGTATTATTTTTCGTTATTACTCGTAGCTTGCATCGAGGTGATCTTCATTCGACTTCATTACTTGGTACTTGGGTACTTACTGATTTTTGTAAAGGCCTTCAGTGATATCGTTGCAATAGTTTGAATCGTGTCAAAATCTTCGAAAATCTGTCGGTCAAGCGGCATTTTGAAATTATACTCATGGCCTAGAATCTTATATGATGACCTTGGTTCATTCCCCCATCACTTTAACCCCAGCGAGTTAATAAAGAGAAATGACAGCCTATCTCTCTCACGAAGACTTTAACCAATCATAAACCAAATAAAATAATTAAACGAAGCAATGTCAATTCTGTCAAAAGTAATGACAGATCTTCCGTTTGTTTACAAGTTTTCAATTTTATTTTATTATCTTTAACTTAAAAATTAAAAAAAAAAAAAAAAAAAAAAAAATTAAAAATAAATCTGGTGTAGTGATACAAAACAGATTTTATATATTTAAATCAACCTAACTAATTATTCCAAAACAAATTAAATAATAAAAATAAAGTAACTATATTAATATTAGTGCTGGCGATTGTGTCAAAAATGTGTTGCGAAGCTAATTTTTTGGAATCCACAAATCAAAGGTAACATCTTATACTAATATTAATAGTTAAACCACAATGTCGAACGGATATAATCAATATCCATTTCCATACTCTCAATGTTCAACATCTAGCCAGATGAACCTCAGCGACCAAAACTTAACAGTTCAACAACTAGGATATTTTCCACAACAAATGCAAACGGGACCACATCCCGCATCACAAATCCAGCAAAATTTCGCTCCAAGCCAGCTAAACCAGCCAATGCAGTTATATCAACCTCAATACCAGTATTCAGTCCAAAGTACATTACCACAATATCAACCCCCAAGCACATCGAAAGCAAATGATGAAGAATGGCAAATAGTACCAAATAAAAAACGTGGGAGAACCAGTCCGGAACAACACCCCAAACTTAAACAAACCAAGATAGATAACTACTGGCTCAACACACCAACAGCAAATAAATTTAATGTATTAATCAATGAAGAGACACACGAAGCAGATACTGAAGAGGAAAAACAAAAACAGGAAGAGAAGCCCCCACCAATATTTATTGCCGGTGTTAAATACATCCAACCATTAAACGAACTATTAAACACTATAGCCAAAGACAAACATTTAATCAGAGTGTTGAATGAAGAACAAGTCAAGGTACAGGCCCAAACAATTGAAATATACGACAGTATAATAAAAGCACTTGATGAGAAAAAAACCGAATATCATACATATCGTAAGAAGCAAGATAAACCCTTTAGAGTAGTGATTCGTCATCTTCATCCCACAGTGGATATAAACGAAATCAAAAAAGAACTAGAGAGCCAAGGACATATCGTTCTACAAATAACGAATATACTTCAAAGAACTACAAAAAAACCCCTACCGCTATTTTTTGTGGACTTGAAAATGCAAGAAAATAATAAAGAAATTTATCAGATAGAATATTTACTCAACGCAAAAATTGATGTCGAAGCCCCAAGACTAAAAAGAGAATTAGTACAATGTACCAGATGTCAAAGATATGGTCACACAAAAAATTTCTGCTATCATCAATACAGGTGTGTAAAATGTGCTCTAAATCACAAAACAGCTGACTGCCCTAAGAAAATTCGATCTGATCTTGTAAAGTGTGTACTTTGCGGTAAAAACCATCCAGCGAATTATAGAGGATGCAGTGTACATAAACAACTGCAAGAAGCAAGATTTCCAACCTTAAGAAAGAAAGAGTCACAGAATCAACTACAAAACCAACAGCTACCAGTGGCTACAACAAATATAAGTACAACACAAAGACCTACATATGCTCAAATGATAAATACCAACCAACAAGATACTACAATGGTCACTCAGGCAAATGACATGCAGGAGTTAAAGAATATGATGAAAGGGCTTATGGAACAAATGAGCACCATGCTAAACTTACTAACAACACTTGTCTCAAAAATGAACTAATGGCTAATACACTAAAATTTACCATATGGAATGCTAATGGCTTGACACAACACAAACACGAGTTGTATGCATTTATAGTTAATCATCAATTAGACATAATACTGATTTCAGAAACACACTTCACGAAAAAAAGTTTCATAAAATTTCACAACTACAAAGTATATCACACAACACATCCAGATGGAACTGCACATGGTGGGACAGCAATCATTATAAGAAACAACATCAAACATTACCAGACAACTCACTATCAAAAATCACATATTCAGGCCACAAATGTAGTTGTAGAAGACTGGACAGGACCTATAACTTTTTCAGCTGTATATTGTCCACCAAAACATTCAATTAAACAACCAGAATTTAAAACCTTTTTTGATACACTTGGACCTAGGTTTATTTGTGGCGGAGACTACAATTCAAAGCATTTAATGTGGGGCTCTAGACTTATTAATACCAAAGGCCGGGAACTACAAAAAGAAATACACATGGATAATCTAAACATAGTAACCACAAGGGAACCAACATACTGGCCTACAGACCCTGCAAAAATTCCAGATCTTCTCGACTTTGCTATAGTGAGAGGAATAAATGAAAAATACTTTAAACCAAAGTCCTGTTACGATTTATCCTCTGACCATTCACCTGTTATCATAACTGTAAGCAAAAACATAACAAAAATAGAAAGGAGCTGTATACTACACAACAACAAAACAAATTGGAGTTATTTTCGATATCAAGTAGACAATCAAATCAATTTAGACATCCCACTAAAGACAGATAAACAAATCGAACACGCAGTAGAACATTTTAACACAGTTTTACAGGAAGCAGCATGGAACTCCACACCATTACCTACACATCGACATATGAACAAAAACTGTTCCAATACAATACATGGAAAAATAATTGAGAAAAGAAGACTCAGAAAACAATGGCAATTAACAAGATCACCTCAAAGTAAAACAAACCTTAATAAAGCACAAAAAGACCTAAAAAAATTGATAATGGCAGAAAAAAATGCAAGTTTTCAAGAATACCTACAAAAACTAGATGCAACTCAAGCCACTGACTACTCGTTATGGAAGGCTACAAGGACTCTACGAAGGCAGAACTATACAGTCCCACCAGTAAGAACACAAACAGGACAATGGGCGAGAAGTCCACTAGAAAAAGCCGAAACATTTGCGACACACCTTAAAAAAGTCTTTACACCAAATGAGGGAAATTACTCACTACAAACTGAAGAAGAAATTATTTCGATACTCACAAAACCTTATCAACTAGAACTTCCCGAAAAAAGATTCACAAAAAATGAGGTAAAAAATATTATACAACACAACATCGATCCAAAAAAGGCTCCAGGATACGACCTGATTACGGGAAAAACTCTTCAGCAACTCCCAGAGAAAGGCTTCCAATTTCTGACACAGTTATTCAACTCTATAATGAGATTAGGCCACTTCCCATCACAATGGAAACTAGCACAAATAACAATGATACTAAAACCAGGAAAAGAACCAGAAAGTGTACAGTCCTACCGTCCTATTAGTCTTCTTCCAGTGGTATCCAAAGTTTTTGAAAAGCTGACACTTACTAAGCTAATGCCTATACTAGAAAACAAAAAACTAATACCACCACACCAATTTGGGTTTATAAAACAGCATTCAACGATACAACAGGTACACAGAATTGTAGAGAGAATCAACGAGGACTTTGAAAATAATAGGTACTGCTCGGCGGTATTTCTGGACGTAAGTCAGGCATTTGATAAAGTCTGGCATAAAGGCTTATTATGTAAACTAAAACAAAATTTACCTACAAATTACTATATACTCTTAAAGTCCTATATCACCAACAGAAACTTCCAGGTAAAGTATGAGAATGAATACACAAACATACAACAAATTCTCGCTGGGGTGCCACAAG